GGGGGGGGGGGGGGGGGGAGCAGATTTGGTCACACTAGCATCATTTTGTCTGCTTATTTAGACAGATCAAACCAGCAATACAGGCAGCAAAATATATGACTATAACCTGCCAATATGCATGGAATAGACCAGTGAGGAGCATCCTTTTTGGCAGACATGCCACAAAGTAATACTTCTCCCCCACCACCCCAAGTGCCACTTCGATCCCCTTCCTCTTCCCGATGGACCGTTCTGCTTTCTGCTCCCTGCCTGATCTGCTGCTCTGTATACTGCAACGTGCCCTATCTTCTGCTTCTGTGTTGCCTGCCCCCTCCCTGGTCTGTCACACAGAGGTTGCCCATGGTACTTGTGGGACACGTGCTGCCCGTTGGCCACCCCTGGAATAAACCAAAGGTTGGCTGACTTTCGGCCTATCCGTCAGTGCTACTGATTTTTAAGGGAAGAGCCAATGAGTGATGTTAGTGGAACAGTTACCTTGCACTAGAGGGCATGCCCGTTTTGTTCAAGTTGGGGAGCAACCTACGCCATGTACACTGAGCTTCAGCCAAAAGTTCCCTTCCGAGCAGCGCGCTGGAATCCCTTTCTTACAAGGTAATGGAAAATTCATACCCAGAATGTGACTGCAGGCCCAAATTGCTCAGATCTGCCAAGCAAAGTCTGCAAACCACTTGTTTTAAAAGCTTCTTGGCCTCTGTGCCATTTGTGTGCTCGGGTAACCTTCCATTAATATGCATACAGCTCAAGTGCAGAGAAGACTGCTGCTTCTCAGCGACTGCAGCGAGTGATAAGTGTAGTCTCAGGCAGTGAACCAACATAGTAATAAACTGTAATTGTTTAGTGCACCTTGCCTTCTAATACAATTTAAATCCCTTCTATCAAATGCAAATTTCTAGGTTCCTGAGTAGAGCTTTAAATAGCATTTTCTGTGCTCCTTCCTTATCTTTTGCCATCCACAAAGTGGTGTGTTAGTGACAGTAAGATGGCATAATTCCACTACCATCATTTTACCTCCTAAAGGAAAACTGCCTACTCAAATCTAGAAATAATGGGCTAGATTAAGAGAGAATTAGACTTTATCGGGTAAGTCTTTTCCTTTTTTTTTTTTTTTTTTTTTTTTCCTCCCTCCATACTGTCACAGCTCATGAGTATTTCTAACAAGCCATTATTTGCCTTCTGGTATTGTTGATGACACACAAATGTAAATGGTGTAATATTTTTTAATCACTTTCATTTTAATAAGTCAAACTGAAGCTATTTTTGTCCTCATTCCCAGTACTGCAGCAATTTCATACGATTGTTTTTTTTCTTTTTTGCAAAAAACAAAACAGTGGTCCTCAATGGAAATCTGGGTTCTTTGCTTAACGATAGTAGCATTTAAAAACTGTTCAGCATTGCCCTATGGTGAATTAAGGGGTTGAAATGTCAAGTTTTCTAAGCATCAGCTTTGTCTAATTTTCGAGCTAAGGGAATCTGGTCCATTGAAGATGTAGGAATGGAAAGGCCAGTGGAGAGATGGACTGAAACTCTTTGGAGCAACTCAAACTTTTAGGCTAAACATTTCGAGCAGCTTAAAATGCAACAAGGAAAAATCACTAGAGTCTTAATACTAGCTGCCTGTAGGTGTTCAGTGGGGCAACAGAAAAAAAAAAAAGAAGAAGAAACGTGGTATAGGGAGATGACTTTTCAAGTAAATAACAAACCTGGGAATCCAAAGATTTACTTCTGGCTGTGCTCATAGTCTCACAGAAGACCTTGGCAAATCATTGCACCTCTTTGCCTGTATCCATCTATAAAACGGGGGAAATGAGGCGAGGCTTAATTAAATGTTTACAAAATGCTTTGCAGTCTGGGGTGGATGTGGTTATAAAATGGTTTTCATTTTTGTCCCAGATTTTTATTTTTTTTAATTCCATCTCCAGTCCTTAACACAACTTCAATCTAGATTTTTCCCAGTGCGCTACTGGTTTTTGTTATCATGTCACGGTCAGAAATCACAGAATCATAGTTTCGAAGGAGCCTCAATCCCCTGTTCAGGCGCAAAATTTGCAATTGTTAAACTAAGCCCTGGTCTTGCTGAGAAGGGAGTCTGCTAGAGCTGGCAGACTTCACTGGAAACAAAGAATAAGACATTGCTTTTACAATTGCTGTTGGCCTAATCTTCATTTAAATGATCTCATGTGGGTCCTGGTCTTCCTTATCCTATATACTGTTTGCTCCCACAAGCTCCTCCACTTCAGTTCCTTCTACTGGCGCATTAACCAATGTGACAGACCTCTCTGTCACACATGGCTTATTCCTCCTCTCGGCCTTTCCTTGTGTAGGTAATTGTTCACGCCGTACAGTGGCTTATTTTGACAATTAAAAAAATATTACAGTTGATGCCTTATAGCAGCAACATGTTGGCAGCAGTATCTTGGTGATATGTGGTTCTTAAGCAGCTTGTGCTATTTTGGGGAGTGTCTGCTGAATGCACGCAGAATGGCAAGCAGTGTTGCTCTTACTTAGGTGTTGCTGCATATTGGTGTTAACTGTATATGCATGCTATGTTGTGCGATAGCAGCGATCAGGGTGACTTGCCCCCTTTTGCTCTACATGCAAGCCACGGTCTGTTACTGTGTAATCCTGATACCTGAACTTTATGGTGTTTTAGAAAACACTGAACTGTGCAAGGCAAATTTTTTTTCCCAGGAGCCACTTAATGTATAAGAACAATCCCGTGATGGTGTCTTTGGATCATGTGAAATCTAACGTCATCATGATGGAAAATGAGATATGCTACTTAATCTATAGAATGACAAAAAGTGTCAAAATGTTGATTTTTTTCAAATGGAAATTATTTGCACGGAGGGACAGGGACTTTTGAAGAGTTCTTTCTCCATGACGTTTTGGCCCTTGAACTTAAGCGATCGATACTCCAAGCTGTTCTCCAACGACAGAATCAACGGAAACCAGCCTTCGGGAGCGGATCTTAATTAACTACCTCATTGATGGGGTCGATGCCCAGTCTTGTGGCAAAAGCATGTGGTGGTACATACTAGCCAATAAAGAGCAAGTCTGAAGATCGAGTATTATATATCATGACAACTGAACCACTTTCAGAGGAGATGATCGTTATGAACTTCCAATAAGTCCTGTTCCTATTACATGGGAGATGTCAAATGTAAAATCTCTCACGCTGGTCAATATTTGTGCTTCCATTGGGGTTTAAATATCTTGACATCAGTCTTTTAAAAGGGGAGAGTGTGTCATAGTTACTGTTAACAGTGTATTGACTGTTGATACCACTCAACTGGGGGGAAAAAAAAGTCATGCCTTTTTTTGTATTTCTTAGTTTCTTGTACTTAGATTCACAGACTGATTGGGATTCATAGATTCCCTTGCTTTGAGAGGGAAAATTTCTCTGAAATCCAAGGTAATTCTCCCAGATAACCTGGTGGAAATTTTTAATCTTCAACTTTCCTGGGTCAACTTCAGGGAATATTCGATCAGATAGAGAGGCCTGTATGATCCGAGACAGGTTCTCACCTTAATACTGCCTGATGATTGCTGTCAGGTAAGCTGTTCTCGCTGAGAGCCCTTAGCTTTGAAAGCTTTGAGGACTGGAGACCGAGAGGATTCGGTGAAGAGCCTTTGATGTGACACGACTCATTCCTTCTGGTCCTCCAGAGCATGGGGTTATGCGTGGGTCAGACATGTATTTAATGCTGTAAAATTGATGGGGAGTTTTCTTTAATTATTATTATTTTTAACTTTTACAGTGGGTTGGGAGGATATAAGTCATCTGTTCCATCTGTTGCAGGTAGTTTAATGTGTTGCTTTCTATGTGTCCTACACCCAGATTCTATGGACGATGGCTGCATAAAATCCTATTTAAATATTTTAAAAGATGATAATATGGGCTGTATCTATTTTGATAACTTCATGCATATGTTTATCGAATAATACCGACTTGGCCTTTTCTTTTGAGCTTTGGGCTACATGTGTTCTTACCAAGACTGTAGTTTGTATACATGGATTCATTGGTAGTTAGGACTCGATAGGAGGTTCCTTCCCCGCCTGTCTTGTTTCCACCACAATCATCTAGTGTTTACATACATTTTAGCCTCCGTGCCATTTTTGAAGGTTTTATTTGTCTCATTTACGTTTTTGGTTTGGATAATACTTAAATATGAAATCCATCTGTGAAACATATTGTATATTCACGTTGACGGGTAAAACCAGTTTTTAATTAAAATTTTATACAGCACTTGTATTTCACTTTGTCCTGTTTTATTATGAAACACTTCAATCTTCTTCCTAAAACACATATGTCTTCTACGTTTCAAGATGTTCCTTGTTGCTCATGCAGAACCGGTTTCCGAGCTCTGTCAGCAGAGTGCCATATGTTCTGGGGTTCATTTAGCTTCTCTCTCCGGCATTTGTGTAGGCAGCATCTTGGATGTAATGCAACTAAGCTATACTCCATTCTTCTCCTTTGTAAAACTTGTCAGAAGATAAAATAAGCAGGGGGAAGAAAACACTGAATAATGCTCTAGTGACTTGAATTATGAATAATGTATGGTAACCTGGCCAATCAAAACAGCTCCTTCTTGGGAGCATGAGGATTTTTCTTAATTGTGGTTGGTGCACAGCTCACAAAATGAATGAGTAGTGCGGCACTACCCAGTGTTGAGCTAGAAATTAATGCTGGAGATTAAGACACAACTTGTACCTTTTGGAAACCATATATTATACACTGTCTTGCATTTGCATTGATAAGCGATTTAAAAGCACGAGATTGGCATCATGGGGAGCACGGGTAAAGGAGTGGGATTTGGGTTGGTGTGCTCCATCTTCACAAAAGCTAAATTTCTCCTGTTAAATGCCCCCCACGGAAGACAGGTCCTTCCTCACTGTAAACTCGATTGTCTTCTCCTGTAAAAAGACATC